ATTTTACAGATAAGTCACTGACGTTATCCTAAAGGGCTCCACCCTGAAACCACAGGCCACAATCCTATCTCGTCCTTCACCATCATAAAATTCTTGTGACAACAACGAAAAACAAACAGAAGCACAGAGAGTGTTAAAAGATTCACTGTTATTATTATCAGGGAGCCGTCTCTCACGGAGCATCACACTAGGGGTAGGCACAGGCGAGGAAAAGCTGCTGTTTGTGGGTCCTTTCCATCTGTCGGCCTTCGAAATAAAGACCTAAGTCGGTCCTCACCGCAGACCCGGGAGACGGGTTAGTCTCGCCCCACTTTTCAAGTGCAGTAACGGAGGCCCGGAGAAGTCAGGCTGATGGACCAGGACGCGGACCCATCCCCGGCTAGCGCCAAAGCCCGCAGGTGCGTCCTCGTCTGTGTTACGTCCACCGCCGTCTCCAACGGGCCATCTTAACCAGCGGCCGCCTGACTTGCGAGGCGTGGGGAAAACACCAGTGCCCGACAAATTCTTGCAGAGGGAACGATTCCGTAGTCATTTTTAACTCCAGCGATTGTCCTTTTTCCTAAAGACTTCGGGGGGCAGGATGCCCATCAGGGTTGGCGTGCGCCCAGATGCGCTGGCCTGAGCTCGGGGCTGCGTGGCCTCCGATGGGACACACGTGGGAATGAGCTCCCTGCGGGGCGAGCTCCTGGTTGCATTTGGAGCTGAGGGCCGAGAGCCTCTATTCATGGGAGGGATGAGGCGACTCACCTGCGCCTGTCACTCATTCCTGGGAGAGGGAGAAAGTCGGTCTTTACAAGTGTCAAATTTTATGACACTTGGTGAGTGTCGAAACTTAACTCTTGAAAGGTGGTTTGAACTTTCTGACCTGTGAATTCCAAAAATCCATAAATCTTACGGCTTTTATTACTGTGATTCAAGAAAGACTTTCAACCTTATGTTCTCTGTCTCGGAACATTTTATTTCTATTTCCGAAGGCAATTAATGAGCTTTTTTGTTGTTGTCGTTGTTGTTGTTAACAACCAAGTCAACTCTACATGCCTAGCTATTTTAACCCATCGCATAAAGGCATTCACGGTTTCTTACAATTTCATGTTCTTGAAACATTAAATTTTAAATATGTCTAGTCGACTATCATACTCACTGAAATTGTTGGTGGGAAAAGCTGAAACCCTCAGGACACAGGCTCGTGAATTTTTAAACCAATGGTTAGGGACTTCTTCTGCTTAATTGTACCATTCTCGATTTTATTTTTAAATCTGAGCAAATCACTATTTGTATCTCATCTCCCATAGCGGTTCGAGGGAATCGATAAGCCCGTCTGTAAGGGACGACATTATTAAGCAGTATTTTTCATCTAAAAAACGATGACGTGCGTAATGCTTTGCAAACCATGAAAAAAAATACTGCGCAAATATAAATGATCAACTTCAACCTCCTCTGCCCTCAGACAGAAGTTTAATGTTTAACTCTCAAGTAAATACATGATTAAATAGAATAAAGTAGTTCTAGTGACCGCACGTGGCCAGAAATTCAAACAATTGCGTAATAGAAACCGGCTGGCCACAGACTAAACCGAATCCTGCGTGGAGCTGCGAGGGGAGATAAGTTCTCAAGGGTAAACACCACGGGAGGCGACGGTCGGTCACACCAGTTACGTTGCCATACATCTTTCGTGCAAACTTTTTATGGGTCCAGCTACCTAAAAGTTATCTTAAGATTTTTAAAAAGTCCCTGCTGACCTCTCTAATAATTTTGTTAGCTCTCAAACTCTCTTATCAAAGACTAGCTCGGTAAAACACATTTGCAACTGAACATGTGTCTCAGGGCACGGACTGCAGATCACCTGCCTGAAATTCACATGTGCATGAATTAAAATGCACAGGTGTGTGTCTCACCCCATCCTTTTGTGGAACGACCTCAGCCGACTTGGATGGCTCACGATTCCCAAGCTCTCTCGGTGAGTACCGGCACTTTGTTCTCGGTGAGTACCGGCACTTTGTTAGACGCGTCTGGAGACTGTGTGACTCGGCCTGCACAACCTAATTGCCGAAGGACACGTCTCAGTGAAAACGACCTAAGCCGACTTGGATGGCTAACGATTCCCAAGCTCTCTCGGTGAGTACTGGCACTTTGTTAGACACGTCTGGGGACTGTGTGACTCGGCGTGCACAACCTAATTGCCGAAGGACACGTCTCAGTGAAAGCACACTGAAGCCCAGTTTGGCCAAACTCCCCAGCCGTACACTCGTTATTGGCAAACGGGCACCGAGCAGTCACGTGACTCGTCGGCGGTTTCAGGAAGACCGGCTGCAGGTGAGGCCCCCCCAGCGGCGCCCTTCGTGAAGGACTCACTCCAAACAGGCTCCGATGACATCAGGACCGGTGACCTTTGTTGCCAGGTCAGCTGCCGGGCCCAGTGAGGCCTAGACCTACTCGCTTACACGCTGCAGCAATGGCACACACGTGAGGGACGTGCCTGCTCACGTGTCTTGTTTGCGCAAGAGCGAATTCTTCCCAGTTAGTATCTTGGTATCACTAATTTCGCGAGCACAGGCTTGTTTCTAGCATCCTTTGTGGTAAATCATAAGCCTTCCGGTGTTACGTTAGCTGCCTATATGCCGAGCGGCCACCTGCGAAGGTGCGGGGTCCTGGGCGGGCCTCATCGCGCATCGGGTTGCGTGGACGAGGACGTTCTCCGCTCTGAGCTCGCGGACCCACGCAGTATGGCATCGGAATCTCCACGCGGGGCCTGGGAACCTGCATTTTTAACAGACATTCTCGGGCCGTATTTCGAAAACACATTTGGTCACTTTCACCAACACTTTTTAAAGACCCCGAACGTCACCTTGTCACGTGCCTTCTCCTGCAGGAAGCGGACTGAATTTTCCCAGCCATTTAAAAAAAATATTTACCATTTCACGAAATCGGTCTCTTCCCCCGAGATTTTTAAAACCCTTTAATGCTTCCTCTAGCTCCCCAGCGCAGACAGGAATTTTTTCTTCCTGTTCGCACTCATTTTTGGCGATGCCCCGTCACCCGCCGGGTCGACGCGGGAAACACGGGGCCGAGACTTGGACGAGCGGCGGTTTCTGAAGTGCTCGCTCAGGTCGGATCCGCGCTGGATCAGACGCAGACGCCGTCGTGGGAGCGTCCCTCACCGCCTGCCAGAGCCGTGCCCCAGGGCGCTAATTACGCCAGGGTTTCCAGAATGGCAGGCCGTGGGAGGGCGCGCGTGAGGAGCGCCGCACGCAGGCCACCCCTGTCCATCTTCAGCCGCGGACACGGACGCCTGGCCGGGCTGGGGCCGGAGACGGTGCTGCGTCCGTCAGGTCTTCAAACGGTGCCGAACGCTTTTCTGTCATCGCTCGGTGGCGAGAGTGCAGGGACATGCCAAGCTCGCACCCCCGACAGTCACGGCAACGTCCCTCAGAGAGACCCGTGCCGTCCACACGGACGGGGCTCGGTTTCGGCCGTGGGGGCCCCGGGGGCGGCGTGGGCCACCGGCTCTCCTGAGTGAGCAGATGGCGGGTAGTCTTTGTCCCCACAGCCAGCCTGTCCGGGCCCACAGGGCCGTCTGCACCCTGCTGGGCTCCTTCATGCCCACACTCCCAGCATTTCTTGGGGAGAAGCCACACGATTTAGACTCCTTATTTCCAGTGCAGCTGGTGAACACACATGTCCGCAAAAATCCACGTTATTTCTTCCAGTCCTAGGGCTGAAGGTCCAGGGCACAGGACGGAATGGAAGTAGGCCCTCCTGCCTTCTGTTTCTAGGGCTGGAAGGGGGAAAATAAAGTAAATTTATATTAGACTTCCCCCAACAAGATTTTAGAAAAGATTCATCTCCTTTTAACGCAAGGCAAAACAGCAAGATTTTCAAGACAGCCCTTCCTGGCCCTGTCTCTTTCCCACACAAAAAGGGACTCAGGCATTTCACCCGGTCAGCAGAGGCCATGTGTCTCATTCTGAGTTTGCTCTGGTTTTCGATTTTTTTCAAGTTGCTCCAAGCCAGAGAGAGTGACCTAGAAGTGTGACTCACTTACACCGAGCTGATCTCTGCAGGGCTTTGGCCGTAAGTAAGCCAAGACTTTTAAGGGCTCTCGAAGGCTCAGCCAGGGTGCGACTTCCTTTGGCCGTGAGGCCCGCCGGAAGGGAATGTGCTCAGAATATTTCTCCGTGGAGTCTCGGGGGCTTCTTTAGCTTCTGGAATCAGAAAACTCCAGAGGCTGCTGGGCCGACCGCCACTGGAAGGGCCGGGGGCTCCAAACTCCAGGCTCAGGAGGAGTTGTGCGGAGCGAAGGCCGCCGCCCACATCCCCTTAGACCCCGTGTATCTGGCCCTGGGGTGGAGTTTCTGAACACGCACTGCTCGGGCCCTGCAGCCATGTCCCCAGACCCTTTAAGACTGCCCCAGACTCTGCCTGACGAGTTGGTAGAGTTCCCACCGCCTTTGTGCAGCCTCCCGAGGATTACGCAACGAGGGATGGCAGGCTGGCGGGCGCCCTACTTTTCCATCGCCCCCCGGAGGCGGCCGGGACCAGCCCGCGAGGAAGGGCTCCAGGGGAAACGCCTCCCGGCTGCACATGCCGATGACGCTTTTCTTTTCTTTTTCTTTTTAAATTAAAAAAAATGTTTTCAATGACAGTTGACACGCGGAATTATATTACCTTCGGGTGGACAACAGTTATGCCAAATCGGACATCGGCATAACTGATGGAACGATCACCCCGATACGTCTAGCACCCCTCTGACGCCGTACGTAGGTGTCACAACATTCTGGACGATATTCCTTCCGCTGCACCTTCCAGCCCTGTGACTGTTTCGTAACGACCGATTTGTACTTCTTAATCCCTTCCCCTTTTTTCCCCACCCCCCAGGGCCCCCCACCATCTGGCGACCCTCAAAGTGTTCCCTGTCTCCACGGGTTTGTTTCCGTTTTGTTTATTTTGTTCCTCAGAGTCCACACGTAAGCAAAATCATATATGCCCATGATGCTTTTAAAATGGAGACCCGCCGAGTCCAAGGGGGTCCTTCGGGGCCCGACCGGCGGAGAACCAAGCCCCAGTGGGGACACCACTGGAGCGGGGGCCTCCGGGACAAGGAGGGGGTGACCTCACGCGGCGATTCGATCTGGGGAAGGTGAGTTCCGAGCGATTCCTCCTGCGGGTGCTTCCTGGGGCGCTCGCGGGCGGAGTGCTCACCATGCGTCTTTCGTGAGTTCCTGCCACAAGCCACCCGCACCCCGCATCGGAGCCCCCCGCGGAGCTGGACAGGGCTCTGCCGCGTGGGGCTTGCAGCTGGCACCGGCTGTCGTCACGCTTTTCTGTCTCGATTTTGTTTTTTGGTTAAGGTTGCGTGTCGAGTCCTCCCTCCGACTTCTGATATTACGCGTACGGTGCCAAATCGTTCGCTGCGGAACATGATACGGCCTCGGTAAAGGCCAGCGGCTTCTTCCAGAAAAGCATCCATAACTTTTGGGCACGGGGCTGACGGTGCCATGCATTCTGGGTACTGCACCGTTTTTAAAAGAATCACTTTAACTGTAAAAGGCAAATTCGACTTCTCTTAAGGACCCGAGTCCTTAAGACAACGTGGTGAGAGAGAAGGGGTCACCTTTTAACGGCAGCTAGACGATCGGGTTGGAAGCAGGAAAGATCGGTGTCTTCGCTCAGATCAAGTACACGCAGTAATGCCGTGACGTGGTGGACATGCCTTCTGCATGACATGCCTGTGGCATCTACTCAGAAAACAGCCCGCGGGGCGGAACGCCAGTGGTAATGGACGTGACCTTTCCGGCCGCGGCCCCTGGCAATGCCACGGGTAATCCTAGATGACTGATTTTTCCATTTGGACGTAGCCGAGACTGACGGGCCAGGTGTCCTGCCTAAAGCAACTGATTTACGATTTGGTTTAGTCTCCTTCCTGCTCGCCTCTTCCAGAGGGAGACTGAAAAGCCAGCCTTTTTCTCCACCTCTGCAGAGGACCTGGAGGTGGGGCTGGCTGCCACGGCGTCTGCCACTTGTCAGGCGGCTGCCGAACCGAGGCAAAGGGTCAGCGATCGGTGCATGAGCCGTAGGGACTCTGAGCACTGCTGTTACACTCAGAGGCTCGAACTGCAGCCGCTGGCGTAGGACTGAGTCCAGACGAGGCTGAGTCGAGCACAGCCGGTCCCTGTTCCACAGCACACACGCGAACCCACGAGGGCACCGTGGAAGGTGGGCGCCGCCTCAGGCCCCGCCACTTCTGGTCGCTGAAATGAACTGTGGCTTTATTTCGTGCCACAGTTACTCACACTGCCGCTGGCTTCCCCAGGCTGCCTCCTTCACCACCAGGGCTGCCCCCCAAATCGCTCAGCCCAACTCCCGGGAGCGGACGCAGTGACCCCCGGCTTCTCCGGGGAGGACACGTGGGCTAGACGCACTGAGCGTGGGAGCCCGGAACCCCACGCAGCCCCACTGTGTGCTCTGAGCGCACCTGCTGAGCCCTACCTCCCCGTCTCGTTTGTCCTCTGCAGGAAAAGCGCGTAAAGCCAGGCCAGGGGGAAGGTCACAGTTCGTTCTGGAGTGGACGCCTGTGACCCCGTCTTCTCTGGAAGCTGACCTCTGCTTCCGGTGCCCGGGCTGAGTGGCGAGCCTGTGCCTCTGTGCCGCTTCGGCCTGCCCAGGGCCGTCCGGACCTTGACCTTGCCTTTGACTTGGGGTGGGCCTCCCAGCACGGACCCCGACAGCTGCCTGCCTCAGGACTCCGTCTCTCGCCCGCCAGCCCAGCCCAGCCCAGCCCAGCCCAGCACCCTCTCGTCCCACCCTGTACTGTGACCCAATACTGACCATCTACTGAGTCCAGGCCCAGATGACTCCTCGGACCAGAGGCTGACAGTTCAGGGACAAGCCTCAGTGGCAGGGGCCGGGAGCCAGGGGCAGTGTGTGCTCCGGCGGCCGACATGGGAGCGGACATCCAACCTACGTGAGAGAAAAGCGAAGGCAAGAACAGGAGCCGTCGCCCACGTACCGAACCTGCTGACAGCGACCGTGTGCCACGCCGAGCAACGTGAGGGCCACGTGGGCCACGTTTCCGCTTCGAGAGGCTCCACGCTGTGGAAAACCGTTTACGGGTATTTTTACTGAAAAATGCAATTCTTTTGAATGGGCACTCTGTTCGTGGGGTTCTAAATTCAAGGTATAACAGGGTACACAATAGAAGACTCTCTCTCTCCTCCTCCATCCCAGAGAGAACCGAACCTTGGATTTGTCTCGGACTCCGCTAGAGATAGATATTTGACGCACGACATGACAACAAATACACGCGTTCGCTTCTGGTGTTTTAAAAATACGAATACTATCTACGCTTCGGGGCCTTGCTTTTTCTCCCCGGCACGTCGACGTGTCGCTGTGTCGCTCTGCGGGGAACGCGTTCCTGGCACTTGACAGTACTCGGCTGTTGGGGTCACCCCTGGTTACTTCACCATCGATGACCAGCGACTCCGGGTCACTGCCAGGCACCGTGAGGAGGGTTGAAATCGATGGTGCATTTTGCCAGGGACTGCGGGGGGCGGTGAATACGCCTCGGACCAGCTTTTCGAAGCGCTCGCTCTCACCGACATATCTGAGACCCTCCTAATGATCCTCACACGCGGGGGAAGGTGATATGTGCTTTTTTTTTTCCCCCACTGGAGGAAAAACACACAGGACAGGCGAAGGTGGCATCTTTCTTCACCAAGAAAGTCGACAGCAGGACCGTCATCTCTCTGAAGCGCCCAGCGCGTGTTGGCGAAGCCCCTTTCTGCGTGCGATGCAGGCGCGCAGATAAAAGCGTCGTTGAGACCGTTCTCTGTTCTTCGGGCTCTTTTAAAAATATCTGGTTCCCCGGCCACGTATAAAGGAAAAGAAAGCAAACAGCTTCTAGGACAGGGACTAGTTTTATGTCATCAAGTGCAGATTCCAGCGAGAGTCAGCCGTAGAAGTCACGGAGACGAGGGAGGAGAGAGGTTTTCCTAAGGCCGCGTGGGATATTGTGATTTATAATATACGTTTGGTCTGTCTCCCTTTTCTGGCACAGAGCCCCTGAAAGCCTTGGAATTTTCTAAGTGATGAAAGCGAAAAGGTGTCTTGTGTTATGTTAACGAGGTGACATCTGGACCTCGCTTAGGCATGAGGGCTGCTTGCCCGGAGAACCCGCTCTGCGATTATGATGATTTTCTTCTATTTTCCAGTATTTAATCGTTATTTTCAAATACATTTTGATAGTTGGATCCATTTAGTACCTTGACGTTAAAGTTCTTCTAAGCCATTATTTTAGGAAATTAAAAATTTTAAGTTCATTTAACTGAAATAAACATCAACGCTTCTGGGAAGTTCTTTTTTCCCCTTTTCATTTTATATCATTTTAAAACTGAATGTCTTTCTGCATAAAAAAAAAAAGGACCCAAAACATCCCTGGCGATCAAGTCTGGTAAATACCCTGAAATCGGGAAATAAAGCTGTTTTGTAGACAAGTAAGAAAAAGAGCACCTGACCAAAAAAAAAAAAAAAAAAATCCCCTAACTTCTTTTTATGCACCAGAGAAAAAGAAAATGAAACTCCTTCAGCTCTGAGGAAGCGTCGTGCGCCACACGCTCGTTCACGAACGTGACCCGTTAGGATGGCCACCCGCCCGCGTGGCCGTGGGGCCGCCTGCGTTTCAGAGGCCGGAGCGTCGCGGGCTGCGGTGACGCGTCGGAAGGCAGGCGCGTGGGCTCGGGAGGACATCCTGGAGCTTAACGGTGCCATCTTCCCAGCAAGACGCGTGCAGTCACGCGAAGTGGAACAAACCCGGGCTGCCCAGAGCTTGGCATCCACTCAGGTGTCCTCACGGGTGAGTCCGGGTCAGGTCGGGTCAGGTTTTTGTGAAAACACTTGGCTTTTAGGGAGTCGCGGATGTCAGAGCTGGAGGCCAGGCCTGTGTTCGCATTTCCTGTGCCCAGCGGGCGGGGCCAGCACGATGGCAGCCTCGTGGCAGGAGGTGGGGGGATCTCGAGGCAGCTGAGGTCTGAGGCTGGCTCGCTCCTCGGTGGTGCTGTGGCGGTTGCTTGGCCCCTGCGAGCCTCTGCTTCCCCACCTGGAAGATGACGCAAAGGAGCCCCACCCGGAGGGTCTGCGGGCTCAGTGGTAACACCTTGTGCCTGGTACCTGGTAACGCGCAGTGATTGACAGCTGCCGTCACCATCCGTGGGAAGCGGCATCTAAGGAAATAGAATTCAATCTTTTTTTTCCCCCCAGCCCGTCGGGTTGGGTCACACTAGGGTCCTCAACACGCCCTATCTCCCCGGAGTCCCTGCCCTCATGCAGCCGCGCCCATGCCATCTGTGGGAGTGGCCGTGTGACTTGTTTGGCCAATGGGACTTCAGCAAGCCACACCAGCGCATGTTTGGAACACAGATCGGCCAGGCGAGAAAGGCCTGCCTGGCTCCCCACGACCCCAAGGGGACGCCGGAGAAGCAGAAGGCCGGCTTGGTCCAGGGTCGCTTCCTGTTTCTCCTCCTCCGTGCAAGAGCCAGTGGAAGCTGCTGGCAACAGCGCCCCTCAGCCCCTTGACGGCTGGGGGGTGGGGCGTCCCAACAAGGCCCAGCCCACCGAGGCCCAGGATGACCTGTGCGTACGTTATCTCCCCTCCCCCACCCCAGACACCCTGAAAACCGAGTTCTAAAGCAGGTGCAGGCGGCTCACTCAGCCGGCCAGGGAGGAGACGGAATCCCCTGGAGGAGCAGGCGGAGCCTGCGCTGGCGTTTTACGCGGATTATGTTCCTTGGTTGTAGCTTTTGGTTAAAAAAAGAAACGTAAAAATAAAACAAGAGATAGAGATACAGAAAGAAGAGTTGAAGTCCCAGTAAATGCTTCTCACCCCGTCTTTGGGGACAAGTTCCGTAGCCTTTTTTCCAAAAGTCCTTCCAGAAAGAGTTAAAAAACATGAGATTTTGCATGCCTTTCTCTCCTTAATTCTACCTGCTTGAAATAGTAACTCTCCATATTTTAAGTAGGAAATCAAGCCAACCAGATTTCAGTTGTAAGGCGAAATGCCAGTGTTCCCTGAAAACCAGGCATTCGTGCGTTCTGAAGACACTTCTAACACATCCTCGTCCAGCCGCAAGGTGAAAATCAAGTACCGAGATTGGTCTGGGCGCCCCACATTCGCGCTTTCTGGAAATAAAAGCGAAGTGAAGACGTCCGAGATGGAACGCTCACTGCCCGTCCCCAACAGCCGTGCCTCCCGGGACTCCTGGACGTGGCACCCCCACTGTCCCCACAGCCGGAGATGACCGTGCAAGGCCTCTGAGTATTTCCTTTCGTGAAGACTACCTATCAGGTCACCAGCAAGTTTAATAGCTTTTTCCTCCTCCATTTATTTTAAATCCGTCGACTTCCCCCCAACTTCACAGCAACCTACCTACCCCTCCACTACCAGTTCCGGGGAGATCACGCTTTCGGAGAGAATGGTGGTCACGTAAGAGATAAGTGATCTCCCCAGGAAGTGCCCCCCACCCCATCAAAATCGAAACGAAACCCCGGAGAAGCGGAGCCGGGCGTTGGAGGCAGGTGCGGCATCGCCCCGAGGGCGGGTACCCCAGCAGGTCTGAGGCCCGGACCCCTGCAAGCTGCACGCGCCACTCTCCTGCTGAGCTAAGACTCGTAAGGGACGGGATCTGTTCCTGGGTGGTGGTGGCCACAAGCCAAAAGGGAAAAGCTGGCCAGTTCCGGCGCGCGGGCCCCCCGCCAGCGGCCATGAAAGCAAAGAGCTCACGGTCAGGGACTCCAGTGACTCCAGCAGGCAAGCGCCGTGTACCTCGCGCCCTGAAAACGGTGCTGGACAGAAAGACGACCTGAAAAGCACCTGGCCCGGTGTCCGAGGCAGTGGGCCCGCCGCATGGACGCCGAGTCCACCCAGGATGGCTTGGTGGTCACGGCTGGTGTCTTGTAATAGTTCATTTTAAGACGCACCTTTGCTCATCCCTCTCCAGGCCCCAGAAGAGTGCCATGCACGCGCACGCAGCACAATGACTCCTTCTGTCTATGCGGGCGACAGACTCTGCCGATCACTCAGCAGATGCAGACTCACCCCCTCCCGAGCCCCGTCTGTGAAAAAGCGTCTCCTTCACCAAAAGCTCCCCTGCTGCCTTTCTGCTGAAGGGCCAGCACTCAGCGCGCGCCTTGCTGTCCCCCGAGCTCGCTCTGCCCCCACGAGCGCATGAGTCCTTTCCGCCCCGGTTCCGGTCCCTCCGTCCTGCGGGTGGGCTGTTGCGGCCCCTCCCGGGCTCTGCCGCACGGCTTTCAGCGTCTCGCTTTCTAGGTCATCTTTCCGTCCGTCACCATTTTCAGGTTTATGTTGGCTTTCTACGTCTGGGTGCGCCTGTGTGGGGCGCGTGCGCATTGATAAACGTTCCGTCCCCTTGCCGGGTCCACCCCTGCAGCGTGCGCGGCACCCTCCTGTCTTTTCTTACAGGCTTCGTTTTAGCGTCTGGTTTGTCTCAAATGCGTATAGCGACATTCGCTTTCCTTCTGTGTCCTTTTGTTTGGAATATCTGGTGTGTGTTCTTACTTCTGAAGTGAGTCTCTTGCAGGCGGCATATAGAGCTTGTTTTGTGTTTTGTGTTTTGTGTTTTTAACCCATTCAGCCATCCTCTATCTTTTGATTGGCGTATTTAGTCCATTTTCACTTGAAATAATTATCTATAAGTAGGGACTCGTCGCCGTTCTGTTCGCTGTTTTCTGGCTGTTTTCATAGTTTCTCTTTGTTCTTTGCTCTTTCTCTCTCCCCTAAGGTTTGATGACTTTCTTTAGTGTCAGTTTAGATTCCTTTCTCCTTTCCTTTTGCTTATTTACGATAAGTAAATCATCTTTCAAACAGACATTATAACTCAACTCAGATATCGCCACCGTTTTATAGACTGATGACAAGCTAATTCATCGTCCTGCTTCCCACAAGAAGCCGAGTCTTTCTCTGAGGCCTCATCTGTCTACCCAGCTCCCCATCTCACCCTGGAGCTCTGAGCTGTTGGATTTTCTCCTCCATCTCTTGGCCACGGAGAGAGGGCAGAGGGCTGCCTTTGGCTGCAAGCGGCAGCCGCCGCCGCCAGCACCACCAGTGGACGCCGAGCGCCACCTCGCCCAGCCTTCCGCAGCAGCCCGGGCTCCGCATGCCCCGCAGCTGGCACCGCGGGCGGCTCCTGCTCAGGCAAATTCGATACTCCCGGCTCCGTTCCAGTTTGTGATCTATTAAAAATTGAAACGTATTTATTCTCTGGCTGGGAAGGTTCCGGTTTCTGGTACTAAGATTAGACCAAGTCTTAGGTAAAGGGATAATATCTCTTTCCTGAAAACGGTGCCCTAAGAGCCTGCTACATTCTCCAGAGCGGAGAGGTCGCATGGCTCAGTGTGCATTCACGCAGGATTGCCTGACTGAAAATTCTATTATTCCAGGTCCACGTGGATGTTACTCTCGTGGGCTCAGGCTGCTTCTTCTCCACAGCACAAACGTCCCGCGGAAATAAATTAACAGACTCAATTCACTTGTTTACCCATCTCAGCATTTAACAAATATTTATTATCGGCCAAGGATCGTGGCAGAATCCTAGAATCTTCTCATCTGGTGGGGAGATAAGTATGCGCGTAAATGTAACCGAGGTTTGAATATGAGACGTATCCTTGGAAAGATGCGAAGCAAATTCTGTGGCAACACAGAGCTCTCACCCGACTTGGGAGAGTACGGATTTCACGAAAGACTCTCCATCTGCGAGGCACTTGGAATCATGGGTCCGACTCTCCCAAGTGCATAGGCGTGTGGGGAATCGGAAGCTGGATGTCCCCATGGAAGGGCAGGATGTCCCCATGGAAGGGCAGCTTGGACAAAGCCTGGCGGTGGAGAGAGACGCAGGACATGCTCGGGGCTGACATATTGCCCCGTCTTCCTGAAACACAAGCAACGTGAAGGGAACTAGTCAGGCGCGAGCCCTCGAATGCCAGGCGGTGGTTTCCGCCTTCGACACGACGCGGTGGGCCGCGGTCGAAATGCCGTGGACGGTGAGGTTGGGTTCGAGACGGCGGTGCAGCCAGACGCTGAGCTCAGTCCCCCACACGGGCGACAGGCGCACAGCCGCGTGTGGGATCGTTTTCCTCCGAAAAGGACGCAGAGCTAGGTGAGCACCGGCTCCGCAACCACAGGTAAAAGAGGTGCCTCGAGACGGGGAGGGAGCAGAGACAGGACTCCGGGCTGAGCTCCGGATGACGCGGGGTGCTGTGGGGACAGACGAGGCTTCCGAGAGGGACTCCGGCTTCACGGGCCCTGGGAAGCAGGACGACTAGTTAGCTCGTCGTCCGTCTATACAACAGTGACAATGTCTGGATCGAGTTATAATATCTGTTTGAAAGATGATAGTCCATCGTTTACAAGAAAGAATAACTCCTACATTCCCCAAACACAGGATTATCCGGGGGAGCAAACATGCAGGCACCTCATTTCAGAGCGACACGGAAAAAAATACAGACACAGAAATCTGGAAGTAGATACTTTCGCCTCCAGCACAGAGGATGACGAAAGGTGAGATGAAATGATTCGGAATCTTTGCCCGATAAACCTCTGCGACTTAAGAAAGCGAACCCCGCGTGGCCAGACGCAGCCCCCCTAACGTTGTTACGGTGACAGGAATTTCTCACATCGCCGTCTGGGTCACTGAATCCAGTCTCCGGCCGCACACGGGGCTTTCTCTGTCAGGTCAGCTCCGGGAAGAGCTGGAAGGTCACTTCGCAGATTTGGCGCACGTTTGATTCTGAATCAACTTGTAGAGGGAGGGCGGCCTCCCTCTTAACATTCAAAAAGATGTT